ATCAGCATGTTCTGAATGTACAGATGAACTGTGTGGTACCACTTCAAATCCTGGCATTTGTGGTTCTGTCTGGTCTGGACTGATGGGCCTTGGGATGGGAATCTGAGAATTAAGGTGCACAAACATTTATTGGTATAAGCTGTATCAAATGATATTCCTTTATTAATTATAATAAAATTGGTAGGATTATGACTATGATGAAATATACTTCAATGACAATGGAGCTGCTGTTGATGTCATTGAAGAAATAGAAAACGTGAGCGTGTGCTGTGTGCAGTCATAAAGCACAGGGGGATGGTCAGAACATGAGAGAAGTGTTTGGAGAAACACGGCAYATAGCTTTTCGAGTGCTTTTCRACACTTCTCGAGTGTTCTGTCAATTCCCTAGTGCTTTATAACTCCATGCAGCACAGCAAGCACRCTTTTTATTTCTTTTACACAAATTTCATTAGCTGTTATTTTGGATAGAAATGAGGCAACTGAAAGTGTGCACACTTGCTCTGATAAAGCAGTTATTTCATAATGATAATGATGATGATGATGAAGATAATTATGATGATTGTGTTCATGGTGCTGTTCTTGTTGATTAATGATGTATAATAATAAAAATGATGATGATGATGATAAAAGTGCAGATGATGATGGTGTGTTGGTGCTGTGATGGTGATTTATGATGCATAAGTTGATGATGATAATAAAGATGATGATGATGATGATGGTGGCATGTTTGTGCTGTTGTTGTCGTTGATTAATGATGCATGAAGATAATGATGATGATAATGATGTCGATGATCTGATAATGATAAAACTGATGATGATTATGGTAATCATAATAACTATTGGTGCAGATGTTAATGTAAAAGATYGGTGGTGGTGTTTGGTTATCGATTAATAACACATACAAGATTACCTCCTCGAACTCTCCTCTTTAGAAACATGAATATTGGGAACGGAATATTGCATTGTGCAGTTCAAGAAGTTATCCATACTCCCCCTCCCCCCACAGAGGAATTTGGAATTTCCGAGGGGTAGGGGGGGTCAGAGAAAGAACAAAATTACAGAGTTCGTATGTAAGAAAATTGGAATTTCCAGGCATAGGTGGGAGGTCTTTACAAAATTCCTCTGTGGGGGGAGGGGGTAGTATGGATAATTTCTGGTACTACACATTCACGGATGTCTGTAATATTGTACCTTCTCTGTAGTTTTCTTCCCTCCATCTTCTTCATCATACACAGAAGTATCAAAATTTGCTTGTCCCTGTACGGTATAACTGCTCAGCAGGTTAGTATAACTGGGCATACCAGTAGTTGATTGTACATGTTGCAGCTTGCTGTCTTCAGGAGGAGCTGATTGTTCATTGGTCTTATTTTCTTCAGGAGTTTCTGGTTCCTTAGGTGTATTAGTACTAGGTATGGTATTTGTATCAAAGGCTGATGACCATCCAGTGCTGACTCCTAGCTTATTGCTGCCCATCATGGGAACTGGACTGATCGCTGTTGACCTATCAGCCTCTGTAGATTGTGTGCAAAATAATATTATGTTAAATATACTGATCCCTATATCCTGAATAGAGGTTCTTTCATATATGTACCCTAAGTGAACCTCTGTTGTATATATGACCCAAGACTGTGTACTATCTTCTTTAGAACACCGAGTTCTATCGATGACAAGTGTGGATCCAACATCCTCTCTTGTTTTGAGGAGCAATGGTGTGGACTCAAACAAGGTTGTGGAGTAGCATGCATTACTACAGCACTGTCTCACTGCTGCATAGTTCATGCCTAGTGTTGTGAGTTCGTTTCTCAAATCGACCACAAACACGAGACAGTAGAGTTTGATTGATGTGTTGTTTTCTCCCTTGCCATCAGAATTTTTGGGTTCTGGGTTCTTTGGTTTCTTCCCTCTATTAAAATCAACGTGTGAGTTAAGTGTTGTGTGCTGAATGTAGGGAAGATTGTAGTTTGTAGTGCTTGTGGAAATAACCTCACAAAACAGCTTCACCCCAGGCATAAATTATTTTAAAATTATTCAAAGGGGCTTTACCATTCTTTTTGAGCTATACACTATACACTGTACATTATTCAATCTTCTGTACAGAACCAGAAAATCATTATTTTGCTGCATAGACCCCTTGCAGGATACTCCCAATGCAGCCTAATTCTGAGGAMAAAACAATAGAATCTTACTYTCATTGGAACTGAAACTTATTGTTCTAGCCTCTGAGTTGAACGGCTCTGGGAATTGCTATTTAAAGCTGTTCATACCTGGYATTGGTATTTGATCTTTGTTGTCATCAGCTGTATGATGTGATATCTCCTCAGTAGAAAAAGGCTTTTCTTCAATCATATCTTTTTCAAAACAGGATTAGAGTAAAGTAAGATTATTGGTCTGTTGTCTGGTGTCTTCTGATGCTTAAGACTTTAACCAGTGACAGGCATTCCTTGTAGCATTTGTTTATGAGAGGAATGACACGGACCTTCCTCGTTACTGAAAGGTCCACACTCCTCGTAAAATAAAAGGAAACCTGCCATAAAGTGCCATATTCAACTAGAAACACCTGTCTCATTCATCTCACAAACAAATACTACAAGGATTGCCTGTCACATTATGGGAAGCACAGATGCTATAGCGGTGAGAGTGCTCGCCTCTCACCAAGGTGACACAGGTTCGAGTCCCATCAGGCTTCATGTTGTATGTGAGTTGAGTTGATYGTTGGTTCTATCCTATGCTCAAAGGTTTTCTGGGTTCTCTGGTTTTTCTCCCCCAAAGAATTCAACTCCTAAATTTTGATTTGATCTATTTACTAATCTATTAGATTAAGATAAACTGAAGATAAACAGACACAAACAAAATTTCAACATGCTCCCTTCTCCTAAATTATTAGTATTCTTACATGAGTAGCATACCTGTTTCATCCTCAGGCTCAATGTGGGGTTCGTCAATTATCACCCTTCTTTCAACAGGATTTTCTTCACCAATTACAACATGTTCTCCTTCCGCACCTTCATGTACACTCCTGGCAACTTCTATCTCATCACTGATAGACCTTTTATGTGGAATGGCTACTGGTTTTTGTACATGTGTAGAACTCGATGGTGGCTGACTGCTTGTAGCTCCATGTGTCTCTAATGCTTGATCATATTAATAAAAATTGTAATTGTTAATTAGAGCAAGAAAGAAAAAAAGCTTCAAACTTTTAGTTAACATGCAACAACCTCTGGGCTGATCAAACTGAAGAGCAGTTTTGCAGGGGGAGTAAACCCAGGAAACCAAGAGAAAAACCCTCGAATCGAAGGAGTGAGGAAACCTAACAAACTCTTATCACATGTGATGGCAAGTCTGGGAATCAAACCCAAGACCCAGATGTTAGAGGAGTATGTCACCCTTGATTTGAAGGGGGAAAAACACAAAACACATTGAAACTAGTTTGAAAAAGGTGAGCATGGTGTTGTCTTCAGAATGTTCTTGTTCAGAATCTAAAACCATCATGAACTACTAAATTTCCCAAGATGCTTTGTGCTAGAAAATTTAGCTACATTTACAATTGCTTGTTGGTTGTTACCTGAGGTAGTTACTGGTTGGGGGGAGTGAATGGCATAATGAGGTAGCTGCCATATTCCTGCCAGGGCAAGGGTATCACCTGTCCAGGTATTCAAGCTTGGTGTGTTATAATTAAAATTAAACTTGAATTCAGTTATTCCTAAAAGAATTAAAATAAAAAATGAAAAAATGAA